TTATTGGCAACAAATACATACAATTGACAAAACAGGCTAAAGTTATATACAATTTGGATTAACCATACTATTACTGTGCGGTAAATGCCTTTTATTCAAATCTGTATGTCCACCTTAAATTCCATATTTAAATCTACTATGAGTAGGTCTTAAACAGGGTGGTCTGTGGTAGACCTAACATTTTTGCCCTCTCTCTTAACGATAGCTTGGGTGACTCCTCCAGCTAACAGCTTAACATGCACGAGACTCGCCAGGGGTTTGGAACTGTGCTCTTGTCTTTGACGTTTCCTTGACTGAAACTGAAAGCTTCAATTTAAAACGTCGCCCTCATGGATGGTGTGATATTAAACCTGGTCTGAAAGTTTCTATTTATGTTAGTCCATGATTGGGAATGGAAAAAGCTTCAGGTGTTATATGGAGACCGTTAAGAGACCTCCAAGGATATTTTAGAAACTCCTCTGAGATTCTATAGAATTTTTTAGCGGGTTAGTAAAGAATGTTTGCGGATATCCACCCAAAGAATTTTTGAATGCTATCCAAACCTTCATCACAATGTTCTCCACATATTTTTGATTGATTCATGACAGTTTATATAGATATTCTTCGAAGATTGACAAGAAGTGTTTCACAGATTCCTCATTAGAGGATACTTTTGTAGTTCCTAAATTGATTTCTCACTAACCAATTCTGGTGAAAGCAAATCGTAAATTTAATTTAGATGACGAATGATTTTATAACAAAAACGCGATCACGGCGCATTTTATAATTACTGTTTAACAAATAACAGTGTAATTGAAAAATCACGATATTCTCATAGTATATAGATAGTGGTGAATTATTGAATCATGGTTTATCGGTAAGCTTGGTCTAACGGATTGGAACGTGCTCAACAACCAAGAGAGTCGAGATCCGAATTCAGATTTGGGCATGATGTGAAAATATTCAATATCCTCTCTAACTATGGTATAGTATGTTGTGAAATTGATCTTAAATGTGGGCAAAACGGAAGAACGTCTCTGATATCGCATTCCGTTCTCTATTAAGTAAGAGTGGATCGTTTTAGATGCGGTACCTTATGCATGCCCTACCCTTAAAATGTTTATTTCTTTACAGTGTAAATAGGAACTTCATTAATAGGGTTAATAGCTGTTTGTACAATGTATGCCGAAAGTTTCACAATAAATATAGAAGGGCGCTCCAAAATATTTTAAGGTGGCCGCAACGTCCTTGTAATAAAGTAAGAAGTACCATATTTTCGCATTCATACTTACATAAATTCTTATCGGTTGCCGCGGTCAGTTTAATTTACGTAAGTTTGTGTAAAGTATCAGGTCAGTTGTGATCTATCTTTCAATCAGTGCGTATCGGTATTATAGACTGCTGATGGTGTTTACAAATACGTGACGCACACGAACAATGATCGAATTATGGTGAGTTGGCGGTTTCTCCAATTATTGAGTTTATTAATGAAAGGAAGAAGATTTCCCAAGATAAAGCACGTTAAAATCGAATTTCTATATAAAGAATTCCTTTGGCTTTTTGGTAAAGTTTTTCCTAAGGAACAATCAAACCAAAATATGCACGAAGGTGATAATTTTTGATCTGCGCTTTTTGACCAAGTTACCAACAGGTTTTAAAATTCAAATCGGAACACGAAACAATGATAACATTTTCCAATACATTTTTAATGATTGTTATTTGTTCTAATCAATTTTACTGGTCAAATGATGTATACAGGACCGGGTCGGAGGGAGGTATACGTCTCAAAGAAGTAAACTGAGGGCATACAAACTGCATTTTAGGTTTTTAGATTTAGATAATTCTATACTTTCATGCAACGGGGGGTTTTTTAGGGGGTGATAAGCTTAAATTCCAAACCCGTCGAGTATCACCTTATTTTTTTTCTGAAGCGAGAAAACCACCTATGCAAAAGTGTTACAAAATAACCTACTGTCTATTGCCATTGCAACGTATCTTCCTATCCGCTAAATATATGCGATGATGATATCGCAGCAGTAGATTAGGGGCATGTCCCTTTGCTAGTGTTACTCGATGATATAAAAGCCTTCGATTCGCTAGATCACATCTTATTAATCGGTATACTTGATAAACTCGGGTTTGATCGAACTGCAGCAAAGTTAGTTAGCTCCTAGGGCTATGTGTACTTAAAAAAACATATCAATGTATGGTATGGTATGTAATAGTGTTGTGTAAACTACATGGGAGTGTCGTTTTTCTAGGTTGAAACAATGCCGAAGATTCGAGCGCGCCATACGCCTTTATAACGTAATTTCGGTCTGAATATCCGAAATAGCATTCATCGCATCCTGTATGTAACATAATTCAAGTTATTTCATAAGACCTGGGAATTTTTTTTATTTCAAATAGACACCGAGTTGTTGATTTATCATTTTAAATGTAAAACAAGTAACTTAGGCCACTTAGGGAACATGTAATATTGATAAAAAGTTTTTAAATGGTTTTTCGATTAACAATGCCACGTGCGAGATAAGCGATGAAAGTGTTGGCGAAATTTCGAGAATCGTCGCGAATTGATTTTATTAGAAGAGGGGGTTTTTGCTGAAATAGGAAAAGTGAAAATTAAACAACGTTTGTAGTTCCTAAATTTTCCACACATTGTATGCTGAAAATTTCGCAATTCATGACAAATATAAAAGGGCACTCCAAAATATTTTAACATTAAGCAAACAACGTCCTTGTAATAAAGTAAGAAGTATCATATTTTCGCATTCATACTTACTTATCGGTTGCCGCGGTCAGTTTAATTTACGTAAGTTTGTGTAAAGTATCAGGTCAGTTGTGATCTATCTTTCAACCAGTGCGTATCGGTATTATAGACTGCTGGTGTTTACAAACACGTGACGCACACGAACAATGATCGAATTATGGTGAGTTGGCGGTTTCTCCAATTTTTAAGTTTATTAATGAAAGGAAGAAGAATTCCCAAGCTAAAGCACGTTAAAATTGAATTTCTATATACAGAATTCCTTTGGGTTTTTGGTAAAGTTTTTCCTAAGCAAAAATAAAATCAAAATATGCACGAAGATGGTAATTTTTGATCTGCGCTTTTTTACCAAGTTACCTACAGCTTTTAAAATTCAAATAGGAATACGAAACAATGGACCGGAATAACCATTGTGGGTTTTTGGAATTTCACTAGAAATTCCTTCACAAGACCAGCAAATGACAGCCTTGGATCGGTATCCTTACTTTTTCCAAATCGTCAAAATATAAGGCTGTATGACATTTTCTTATTTAATTTCTTGTATCGTTTCCGATATTAAACAACAGTGATAGTATCATATTGTATAGAGGGTGGCTTTACAATGCTATATCCGTAATATTTTAATATTGGTTTCCCTAATTATTTTAAAGGTGGAAGGAACGTAGGTTTTTTTTGGAGTCAAGTTACCACCTTTAAATTTATTTGAGCTAGGAAAGAAAGACAGAAATACCATGGAATTGTAAGGGAAACAAACGCGGCACGTAAATATGATTTTTAGGCTATCATCACAAAAACGTTGATTTTGTGGTCGCTTTTGCGGCCATAAAGTTTCACTTTATTGTACGCTTCTGTCAAACTTTACTTTATTGTACACATCTGTCAAACTGTACTTATTTGAAACTGATGTGTGAGAACCAGTAATCTGTTTGATAGAAAGCGTCTATCTGGTCTGTCCTCATCAAGGATTGGGTCCATCCACGTGCGTTTTTTTCATTTTCAGACTTGTAGGAATGTTTCACACTATTTTGCGTAATCACAATGTTCACATTTTAAATTATAGTTTGACGTTTCAATCTTTGCTGCTTGCAGAGACCTTTTTGAAGTGTAGAACCAAAACATGAGGAAGATGTTATTGCTTACATTATTATACGAAGAATCACCAGCAATTAACCGAGAACACAAGTAGCTACCTATACCTACCATCAAAGTAGGTAATCAGGTTTCTAATAATTGTACGTTAACTATAAGGTCTTGGAAGCCACAGTTACGAAGGACCTATTGCATTTGACATTATTAAAATCTTGTGCAACCGAGGAAGTTGCGATTGTACTTTTACTCTCAAACGCCTGCTTTTATATCATATATGACTTAGGGTCGCAAGCGCAACGCTTGCAGCTTCCAAAATTTCATTTGGGGTATCTGAACTGTCGCTATCACCCATTTTGATACGCACAAAACACACACAAAGATGCTAATTATAATTACATATGACAGGAAATGCTTTGTTTTTAATTGTCTAAGATAACTATGATTTTCAGAAAAAATATGTTTATGAGCAAATTTTTGAATTCTTTTTTGATGATCGCCTAAAAAATGTTGTGTGCACCTTGGCCAAAAGTGATTTGTTAGGCCTCATCTGAATTGCGGCCTCGGCTACCGCCTCGGCCACAAACAACAGCTTCGGCCAAAAAAGATCACTTTTACGGCCTTGGTACACAAATAACTATTGTTCATTATTACTACGAAAAAGGTTGATTTCGATTATTTGTGACTTTGAGGAAACTATTATGACTTAAGATAACGTGAGAATTAATAAACGTCAAACTGCAATGACAATTCAAGCGCGCTTATTCTATTCCAAGGCCAAAACGATTTTTCAGATACGCGTAATACTTTCCCCCCGTTTATCTATTTCCAGAATTAAGAAAATTAGGCATGGATTCGTAATTTTTTCTCTACAACAAAACCTAAATACACTTTACCTCTTTGTCAGTATTATTTTCTGTTTTGTTTAGACTGTAAAGGTTTTTCATAGTTTCATAGTTTTGGATTGTGGTGCGTTACAAAGTAACTTTAGCTCAACGCCTTCATAAAATGCTCACTATTCAGCGCCGGACAGTAAGTAGGTAATTTTGTGGGAGTTTATTAAAGTTTTAACATTAATTTAATTTCGCTTTCCGATACCGCCATTGTAGAACTTAAAAATTAAACAATACGCTTGCAACGTGATCGTAATTTTGCTTTTTCGTTACAGATTGTTTGAAGAGCATAACGAGCTGCTGTCGCTGTTTAATAAATTCAGGGAGTTGAAGAATAAAGATCAACAAATAAATAGTTTAGAATTAGCGGAGCATGCCAGTACGGTTATGGAAACAATAGACGAAGCTATTAGGACCCTTGACAATATAGACAGCTTTCTTGAATACGTCCATCAAGTAGGAGCGTCGCATCGAAAAGTGCAAGGATTTAAGGCGGAATATTTTTGGGTAAGTAGTTACTAGTACTATTACTAGTAGGTACGTAGAAATATGCAAATATAAGATACCGTATGAATGATTAAAATACCAAATATTCTCAAAATAAATGAGAATTGGTTTTCTCCATTTCCAGTCACTTTTAGACATAAAAGCTCTTCCTATTGTCGGTTTTTGATTATGTAGTTCAAGTAACCTTAACTGCTTCTTACGCTAACAGCATCAAAACGGCTATATAATCTCTTCCTTTTGGGTGACCGAAGTTGTTCATCTGCTCCCTAGGGAGTAATAAGTACAGTTACGCAAGTAACTTCAAGTAAATTATTTGTTAAAATAAACGTTTTTACAATTAACAAAATTAAATTACCGATTTGGATTATCGTCAGTTTTTGATATTCAACATTACCAAATTTTTTGTGGTGAGCTTTTTGATGCAACGTCTTCTTCACTAATGACCAATTGCATCGTCAAAATTAAGTATTGCTTAAAGTTAAGCATGACTTAATTGCCACAGCAACCATTTTCTTAATAATCATTGCCATACATTTTAAGTTCGACTTAACCCTTAATTTTGATGGTGCAACTGGCCATAAAAGGAGCAGAACACGTTACAGCAGTAGTGGAGACCGTTTTAATTAAAAAAGTTCCAAAAATCTTTTAGCAATTTGTAACTGCATCTGTCGAGTGACTTGAGAAATTTTTTGATTGATACTGCAGTGTATTTCAGATGTTTTTACTTTTTAAAAATCGTTGTGAAACTTAATACCCCCAATAGAATCAATCTAGCTACGTTTGTTTCTGAGGTACATGGTGCAGAACACGAGAAGTCTAGGATGTTATTGTATGTATCTTACTACCCATGGAAGATAGCGAAAAGGTAAAATATTTTTGGTGGGACCACCTTTCCTGAGATTTGACCCAAAGTTGGGCATGCAATTTCTTCCTGATTACATTGATATATGACAAGCTATCTTTTTTAATATATGTACCTAATTATAATATAGGGATTTCCTATGTCTACTTTCAAATGATAAAAAGTCTTCTGAATGACACCGTATTTTATGTAACCAAAATAACTTTTTGAAACAAATAAAGATCTGGCTGTCATATTAATTATTAATTTGAATATTGTTGCTTTGGGTTCAAAAAAAATAAATCTCTTAAGTTCCTTAACTGTTATCGGCACTATACCAATTGGAAATATCAACTTTTTCTTTAGTTGAATACATAGCACACGAAAGAAAATTAGAATACGGAAGTCAAAGCGATAATATTCAAATTAATTAATGACAGGCAGTTCTGCATTTGTTGTAAAAAGTTATTTTGGTTGCATAAAATTAGGCATCCTTCAGATGACTTTTTATCATTTAAAAGTAGACATAGGAAATCCCTATGCTAGTCCCTTTGTCTACTTCTACATGAATATTACCGTATATTACGTACATGTATCATATTTTTGAAATTATTGAAGATCTTTTTCTAGTAGGAAACTATTATTCGCCGCCTGTTCTATAGTCCTCATTTACTCTTTCTAAGAAAGCAAGTAATTTGGGATGCTTATGCCTAAATTTCTTTTAGTTAGTTTTTAACATATTACATATTGGAACATATTGCATATGGACCTAGAGCTTAGATTTTTCAAAAAAGTTTGCCAAGAACATGCTTATAGTAAAATTTTCTGTTCCCTTTCCAAGAGAACACTTCAGAAACGCATAAAAATGAAACGCTTTTTCATATTTTTCTGAATTTTATTAAGAACACCAGCTCACCGATCATTTAATTTGCACGTTGAATATTATTAATGGGTTCGCAAAGAATATATAGCAACTTTTTTTAAGACCATTTTTTTAAAACTTCAGTTGGTGAAAATTGCAATTGGATCTAATTTCTAGTTAGCCTTTAGGGAATTTATATCTTAGAATAGCTAGCTCATCAAGTTCCTATTATGTATTTATTCTCGTTAGGAGAACTCTTCAGTAACAGTAAGTAAGCCACTCGTAGTAAAATTCGTGTTGGAAGCTCGCCGTTCGCCAAGTAATTATATTTCAAAGAAGGGAAGTAGGAAATTCCTTTTTATACCTGTTAAAGTAACTGCTAAATCCCGGTTAATGTAAGAAATTCGGTTAATCGGTTATTCGATAAACAATTTTTAACTTATTTTTCTAAAGAAAATTACCATTAACCGTTTTGCTTTTCGTAGTATTCCTTCAATTTAGCAGATATTCTGTATTCTGTATTCTGTGAATATTTGCACGTCATAGTTTTTTTTCGGATCGAGGGCGAGAGGTCGGGGGCAATCGGGCGTAGAATGTTGCAGTTTTTTTTAAATTTTCATCAACTAAGTTTTCATGGACAGATGATCCCTTATACCAAATTTCGTCGAGATAAATTTTTTTGGAAGGAACTAATTTTGGAATTTTTGGGGACCTGCAGATCCATTAAAGAAGGTTTTTTTTTCGGAAATATACTAGCACGCGTGGATTAGTATTTTAAACTTAAGAATATGACGTCATCGACTATTTTTTATGAATATTCTTAAAGATTTATTGTGCAAACTACGTCATGTAGCCGTTTTATTTGGTTTCAGCACCTACAGCAATGTTGGATCACTCTGTATGTTGAATTTCGATTATCTGTAACGTTAAATGTGGTTATTATTTAAGACTAAATACAAAACCGACAATATTTAGATTCGAAGTCCGTTTGATTTGCGTGCAGAATTATTTCATATTTAATTGTGTTTAAATAATAAGAAGGTTGTAGACTGTTCGTGCCCGTACAATTCACACCCGAACAATTCGCGTCCCGAAAGTTTGCATCCGGACATTTCCCAGATAATTCTCACTTGGATAGTTCATACTCTAGACATTTCGTCCCTAGAATATTTCAATTCCTGACGAGCTCGTATTAGGGCATTATCTTTTAAAACAACTTGAGCGTAGATTCCACAGATTGTATCAAACGTATGGTATTCTTATTCAAAGAAGTCGCTCTTGGACAATTACCACTCAAATATTCTCTGTACGGGTAACTTGATCGATTTTTAACGCATTCTTTAAGAAGCAAGAAAATGTATCGCTTTTTAGCGCGTTTCAATGAAAATTGCGCAATTGTCAACGCTTTGTACGTCTATATTTATCGTGGAGATAGGTAATATAGGAAAGCTTATAATATGAGGAGATTTATTTACGACCTCATAGTAACAGAGGGGATGAAACTCTGCAATTAACTTACTGTTGAGCTTTTGAGACGTTGAATTCAAATTTTTTTTCATTGGGTATGGTACGTAGGTCCTACTCAGTAATAAAGATAGAGCTTTGATGTCAAAGTATAACCAAGAGAAACTATTGAATATTCTTTTTAGTTGGCTACATATTATAATTACCGCCAGAGACGAATACTTCAAAAGAGAAGTGGAACCCCATCGTTGATAACCCACCCTAATTACTACTTCCTGATTGGCACATTTCTGCACCTTGAGCTAGCAACGAGGCAAGTTTTCCAATTAAAATTTTATTAAAGAGCTAGTGACGTAAACGGCGGTAGGAGCGGTGATGACTCGTGTGTTACCAAAATCTATACAGAGAGCCGTTACATCCCATTCGAATTATCCAGCGAGTTTTTTAGATGTGAAAGGTTCGGGCGCAATAATTTGTTCGCACATGAATGCATAACGATTGAGAAAATGAGTTTACTAAACGAAGATACATAGAAGCATATGTGAGATTATAGTTATTAAATTCTGCACAATGCAGGAGAAGAACATTACAAACGTTGTAATATACTGTTAAGTCTTAAAATACAAAATACAATAGTATAAGGCTGTGAGCGATATGTTCCGTAAGATTCGCCTTTTAATGGATCTGTTAGCTCGTCTTTATGAAGCCAAACAAATCGCCTGTCATAATATAACTTTAATCAATTTCTTGTGCAGTCCAAACATTTTTCCATTATTTCAAGGTTCCCTAAAACAACGTTTCACTTTCTGTCTTTAAATCAGCCAGTGTCTGTCAACGTTTCTAATCGCAATACTTCACGAGGTAATTTCGTTTGTCACAAGAATAGTACTTTACGGTTTATGTATGAGGGTGGGTTGACTTGGAGATCTGCCACAGAAAGTTTTTGTATCTGCACTTTCCGCATGTGTATAATAAATCTCCCAACCTACGGCTCCTCCCGTTACGCACTATAATTCGGAGACGATAATTTATTAACGTCAATTAATGTTAAACTTAAAGCCCATGTGCTTTCAGCATTCGTAGTAATGTCAGTTCATGTCTAACTTGATCCTGTAGCCTTCTAAACAATCGATTACTGACTAAATATTTGCTCTGACGATGATCCAAATGTCTCTGAACTTTGAAAACATAGACCTATTCCAAGCTCGGAAGGGATCCAATTTAGAGCAGCGAGTGCTTTTTTATGCACGGAGACAATCTGAAAGGGTCATGTTTGACGTTTTCGTAATCAGCAAGGTCTGAAGTAGGTCGTTGAATATAAACGATCTGTACTCGATTTTCTCTAGTGTTCGCAATACGATTAATCTTCTTATTATGGACTTTGTAATATTGTGTCGATTTCTCTGCCTTTTAAACAAATTGTATTTTCCCGGACCATCTCCGGGATTTATTCGGTCGTGACTATCGTACGGGGGCTTTTAACATCGATTCTTTGATAATGATACTCAACTAAAGCTTAATACATTTGAGGTGAACTCTTGTGGATCTTATTTTAACAAATAGACCGGATGATATATACTGTCGGCAGGTGTTTTAAATGCATAAATGCATGAATTAGTCTATTCCCAAAACGTATATTCTGTACAAAACAAGAAACTTCAGGGATTTCAGAGATTATTAAATGCCGTCCCTAATGGGTCATTGTATTAAACCAGGTGTCAAATTCTTGACAGAATAGCTTCCTAGCTGAAACCAAAAATTGCCAACATATGTACGCACTTACAGACGGGAAAAATTTATTCTTGAAAAGTTGCTTAAAATGATCTAAAACGT